CAAGTGATCTGCCCACCTCTGCCTTCCAAAGTGCTGGGATTACAGGTGTGAGCCACTGTGCCTAGCCCAATTATATCAGTATACTGCTATTATCTATTTTCCTGTTCATGCGTATGTGAATTGTTTCCAGATTTTTTGGTTTTGTTTTGTTTTTGAGACGAGGTCTTGTGCGCAGACCAGAACCTCCTGGGCTCAAGCAATCCTCCCCACCTCAGCCTCTGGAGTAGCTGGGACCACAGGTATGTACCACCACACCTGGCTATTTTTAAATTTTTTGTAGAGATGGGGGTCTCCCTATGTTACCCAGGCTGGTCTCAAACTCCTGGGCTCAAGGGTGTCTCCCACCTCGGCTTCCCAAAGTGCTGGGATTGCAATGGCCTGATCTTGGCTCACCAAAACCTCCTTCCAGGTTCAAGTGATTCTCCTGTCTCAGCCTCCCGAGTAGCTGAGATTACAGGCATGCACCACCACACCTGGCTAATTTTTGTATTTTTAGTAGAGATGGAATTTCTTTATGTTGGTCAGGCTGGTCTTGAACTGCTGACTTCATGATCTGCCTGCCTTTTGGCCTCCCAAAGTGCTGGGATTACAGGCATGAGCCACCGTGCCTGGCCTATCTTTTTATTTTATTCTAATCCTCAAAGGATTTGGATGATTCCAGAAACAACCTCTCCAGCACACCCAGAAATAATATTTAACCAGATATCTGTGCATCCCTGGCCCAGTCAAGTTGACACAAAAAATTAACCATCACAGATCCCCTCCAGCTCAGGACTCAATATGCCAGCCTGAGAGAACCCCCAACTATCCTTCTCCCCTCCCTGAATGACTGAGGAGACCGTGCCTCTCCAGGCAACCTCTGCCTTAGAAAGTTCTACAGATGATGATTCACAGGAAACTCATGGCTGTCCTCTCTGGGGCAGGGGCAATAGGCTGGGTGGGGAGTTTCTAAATCAACCCCAATTGACAGAGCCATGGGTGCTTGCAGTTCTTCTCCCCTGCGCCTCCCACTCCCCTCCCTTAGACAAAGTGGGGAAAAGGCGCTTGGAGAGGAGTACACTGAAGGAGGAAAAAGAAGAGAAGGCAGAGTGTTCAAGCACCCCTCTGATCTCATGTGATCTCTGGCACATGCATGCATACTCTCCCCTTTCTCTTTTCTGCACAGAGTCCCTACGTTCAGGCCCCAGCCTCACTGAGGAGGCTCTGCCTCCCTGCAGATCTCCCAAATCCTCCTCCCAGAACATGCCACATATTTCTGAAGGTCCTTTTGCCAACAAGCATTGTCCTGGGGCTATCAGGCTGGTTCCTTACCAGTAAAATCACTCACATAGTTAAACATTTTTTTAAATTAACAAAAACTTTTTTTTGGCTGGGTGCAGTGGCTCAAGTCTGTGATCTTAGCACTTTGGGAGGCCGAGGTGGGTAGATTATGAGGTCAAGAGTTTGAGACTGGCCTGCCTAGCCAGAATGGTGAAATCCTGTCTCTACTAAAAATACAAAAAATTAGCCAAGCATGGTGGTGCATGCCTGTAATCCCAGCTACTCGGGAGGCTGAGGCAGAACAAGAGAATTGCTTGAGGCCGGACGCAGTGGCTCACGCCTGTAATCCCAGCACTTTGGGAGGCCGAGGCGGGTGGATCACGAGGTCGAGAGATCGAGACCATCCTGGTCAACATGGTGAAACCCTGTCTCTACTAAAAATACAAAAAATTAGCTGGGCATGGTGGCTCATGCCTGTAATCCCAGCTACTCAGGAGGCTGAGGCAGGAGAATTGCCTGAACCCAGGAGGCGGAGGTTGCGGTGAGCCGAGATCGCGCCATTGCACTCCAGCCTGGGTAACAAGAGCGAAACTCCGTCTCAAAAAAAAAAAAAAGAGAATTGCTTGAACCCAGGAGGCAGAGATTGCAGTAAGCCAAGACTGCACCACTGCACTCCAGCCTGGGTGACAGAACAAGATTCCATCTCAAAAAAAGAAAAGAAAAGAAAAATTTATATATATACACACATACGTATATATATATTTTAAAATAGAGACCAGGTTTCGCCAAGTTGCCCAGGCTGGCCTCAAACTCCTAGGCTCAGGTGGTCTGCCTGCCTCAACTTCCCAAAGTGCTGGTATTATAGGCGTGAGCCACCACTTCCACGGCTCATGGCAGCCTCAATCTCCTGGGCTGAAGCTATCCTCCTCCCTGTCTCCTGAGTAGCTGGAACTACAGGTGTGCACCACCACATTCAGCTAATTTAAATTTTTTTTTTTTTTTTGAGACAAAGTTTTGCTCATGTTGCCCGGGCTGGCGTGCAATTGCGCGATCTCAGCTCACCATACCTCTGCTTCCCAGGTTCAAGTGAATCTCCTGCCTCAGCCTCCTGAGTAGCTGGGATTACAGGCAAGCACCACCATACCCAGTTAATTTTTGTTGCTGTTGTTGTTTTAAAGTAGAGACGGGGTTTCTCCATGTTGGTCAGGCTAGTCTTGAACTCCAACCTCAGGTGATCCACCCACCTCAGCCTCCCAAAGTGCTGGGATTACAGGCAAAAGCCACCGCACCCGGCCTTAAAATTTTTTTGTAAATACAGTGTCATTATGTTGCGCAGGCCAGTCCTGAACTCTTGGCCTTAAGAAACTGTGAGTCACTACAATGGACCATTTTTTGGTTTGTTTTGTTTGTTTATTTGTTTTGTTTTTTGAGGCAATGTCTTGCTCTGTCACCCAGGGTGGAGTGCAGTGGCCTGATCACAGATAATTGTGTTTTGGTGGTGGGTTTTCTTGATGTCTCCCTCACTGGACCTGACCAGGGCATGGGCTGCTTTGTGAGTGCCACAGCCCTCCCTCATCACTGCCCATGGGGCTGATACACCTGTGTGCACACACCCAGGTGAAGACAGCCACTGCTTGTAGGTGAGGTGAGACTGAGCATCTGGGTGGGAGGAGGTCCCCCGCTCCCACCCTGCCCACACCAGACCATGAGAAGCTGTCTTTAGCATGGGTGCTGACCAGGCCCAGACTGGGTGACAGAGTGAGGCACCGTCTCAAAAAAAAAAAAAAAAAAAAAAAAAAAAAGACATAATGAGGTGTAATTTTAATTTCTTGGATGTCCTAGTATGGGTTTCTTCATTTCATTTTAAATAGCTTTTTTTTTTTTGAGATGGAATCTCACTCTGTCACCCATGTTGGAGTGATCTCTGCTCATTGCAGCCTCTGCCTCCCATGTTACAAGTGATTCTCATGCCTCAGCCCCCATGTAGCTGGGATTACAGGCATGTGCCACCACACCTAGCTAATTTTTCTATTTTTAGTAGAGCTAGAGTTTCACCATATTGGCCAGGTTGGTCTTCAACTCCTGACCTCCAGTGATCCACCCACCTTGACCTACCAAAGTGCTGGGATTACAGGCATGAGCCACCATGCCTAGCCACCCTTTATCTTCTTTTCTTTTTGAGACAGGACCTTGCTCTGTCACCCAGGCTGGAGTGTGGTGATGCAATCATAGCTCACTGCAACCTTGAACCACTGTGCTCAAGCCATCCTCCCACTTCAGCCTCTATTACAGGCATGCACCACTACACCCAGCTATTTTATTGACTGATTGAGTGAACGATTGATTTTTTTTTTTTTTTTAAGATGGAGTTTCGCTCTTGTTACCCAGGCTAGAGTGCAATGGCGCGATCTCGGCTCACCGCAACCTCCGCCTCCTGGGTTCAGGCAATTCTCCTGCCTCAGCCTCCTGAGTAGCTGGGATTACAGGCTTGAGCCACCATGCCCAGCTAATTTTTCGTGTTTTTAGTAGAGACGGGGTTTCACCATGTTGACCAGGATGGTCTCGATCTCTTGACCTCGTGATCCACCCGCCTCGGCCTCCCAAAGTGCTGGGATTACAGGCTTGAGCCACCGCGCCCGGCCCAATGATTGATTTTTAGATGGGAGTTTCACTCTTGTTGCCCAGCCTGGAGTGCAGTGACGCCATCTCAGCTCACTGCAACCTCTGCCTCCCAGGTTCAAGCAATTCTCCTGCCTCAGCCTCCGGAGTAGCTGGGTCTACAGGCACGTGCCACCATGCCTGGCTAATTTTAGTATTTTTAGTAGAGATGGGGTTTCTTCATGTTGGCCAGGGTGGTCTCCATCTCATGATCTGCCCACCTCAGCCTCCCAAAGTGCTGAGATTATAGGCATGAGCCACTGAGCCCAGTCTATTTTTAAAATTTTTTGTAGCAGCAGGGTCTCACATGATACCCAGGCTGATCTTAAACCCCTGGCCTCCCAAAATGCTGGGATTACAGATGTGAGCCACCATATCTAGTCCCTTCATCTTTTTTCCACTGCTTGTGCCAACCCAGTTTGTGCACTGGGGCCTCAAAGCTGATTCAGCCTACATCCCTTTCCCAGATGGACACGTGTGTGATAAACAGCCCTGCAGTGAGGTGAGGGAAGGGAGGGGAAGCGAGGTCCTGTATGTCCTGCCATCTCCACAAAAGGGCAGTCCTCACCCCAGCTTTGTGCTGATGAGACCAGGTATAGGCAGTCTTGATGACACAGGGCGGAAGGGAGCAGCCATTAGCGCTAATGAGGCAGGCGGCCTGAAAGCTTTTTACTCTGCAATGGCTCGCCCACCCAGGGAACAGTTCATTCTGTTTCCTTGGCTTCCAGGAACCCCAGGCAGAAAGGGGTTTGGGGACAGGAGCAGGAGTGGGGGTTCTTGGAGAAGCCTGGAGGGAGAAAGGGAGAGGACCAGAAATGCATTTGGGAGGGCCTGGGATTGGTTAGGTGGGCTTTTCCCCTCCCCATTCCCTCCAAAGAAACCCAGGTTCTGGTTCAGCACTCTACCCCTGCCCAACAGTGGCTACTGGCCCATCACCCTCTCCCATGCCCTTGACCTGAATTCTTGGAAGCACAGGAAACAACATGCTACGTAGGGGCTGAGTAAGCATCACTGGGGCCACAAATTAAATTAACCTTTCAGGGCCGCTTGCCTTATTATTACTAATGGCTCCACCCTGGCTCAGCTCCTAGGTCCCTGTCCTGTGGAAATTTGGGGCCCCTGGGCACCCTCTCTTGCTCCCAAATTTTAATTGGCTCCTGGAAACCTCACCCCAAATTAGAGATGGGCACCTCTCTTGTAGAACAAAAGGCTCAGGTCCGGGGAGTAAGGGCCTGAACTGTGCCCCCACCCTCCAAGAAGGGCCCCTTGCAGCCTGGCTGCAGGGATCAGTCACGTGTGGCCCTTCATTAGGCCCTGCCATATAAGCCGAGGGCCCTGGGTGGCCGGGAACTCTCTAGGGAAGAATCCAGGAGGCAGAGGTGAGTTCTCAGGTTGGGCAGGGACTCCTCCTCTCTGCGGGGCCTCTATCTGGGCACCTAGAGGGGATTCCAAGGATGAGGAGGGACTAAGTGGTATGTCTTCCGCTGAGCCAGGCCATGCTGACTGCAGCGATGCTGAGCTGTGCCCTGCTGCTGGCACTGCCTGCCATGCAGGGAGCCCAAATGGGCTTGGCCCCCCTGGAGGGCATCAGAAGTCCTGACCAGGCCCTGTTCCCAGAGCTCCCAGGTCAGTGTGGGCAGGGGTGGGACTGGGCGGGGCCTGAATACTCTCTGGACACAAACTGTCTCCCCTGGCCTAAGCCCTCTTTCTCCCTTCCCAAACCCTCTCCTGGGAGGTGGGTGCTTTGTGCATGGGGGTTCCTGCCCTCACATCCTCTGCCCCAGGCCTGGGCCTGCAGGCTCCACTGAAGAAGACAACTGCAGAACAGGCAGAAGAGGATCTGCTGCAGGAGGCTGAGGCCTTGGCAGAGGTAACTGCTCAGGGGAAAGGGTGAGGTGGCAGTACTTGGGAGGGGGCACTGGGTATTAGCTCCTCTCCCCAGCTCCAAGTTCCCTCACCAGCGATGACACTACAGATCACCTCTACCCACGTTCCACTGCCATCCTGCATAGGTTGGAACAGGTAAGGTCCCTGGACCTGTCTTCCGAGGCCTGTGCCCACATTCCTGGTTCCCCACCTCTGCAGGTACAAGACCTGCAAGACCGCGAGCCCCGCTCCCCACGCCGCTGCGTAAAGCTGCAGGAGTCCTGCCTGGGACAGCAGGTGCCTTGCTGTGACCCATGTGCCACGTGCTACTGCCGCTTCTTCAATGCCTTCTGCTACTGTCGCAAGCTGGCTACTGCCACGAACTCCTGCAGCCGCACCTAGCTGGTCAACTTCAGGGTCGGAGCCAGGGTAGGGGCAAGGAAACGCAAATAAAGAATGGGACCAACCCCGAGGCTGTGATTATTTCAAACGTGGCGGTAGAAGGAGGGAGGGTTTATGGAGGGGATGGGAGTGTCAGTAAGCCAAGAAACCACACATACTCTTATCCCAGCGCCTGGGCTACCCCATCATAGGAGGCACATACATGGGTGCTTCTAGGGATCCTGGTGCCCCTGGGAAAAGTAGAGAAGAGCTGCACTCCAGCTTTTGAGAATCTGTATAGCAAGTGCAGGGAAAGCAGGACGCAGGGCGGCATCGGGGCTACCACTCTGGGCTAGTGAATAACCCTTAGGCTCCAGGGCTGCTTGCTGTGACTTCCACGCAAAGCCTGACCCTCATCTTGCTACCAGAGGGAAGGTGGGGACTGTGAGTTGTTCAGGTCCTTAGCGTTTTGAACAAAGAATTGAACAAAACCCAGAAAGTAACAAAGAAATGGCATACAGGAAGGAAGCAGAAAGCAGGGATCTGTTAAAGCGAAAAAGCACTTCGCAGGGTGTGAGTGGGCCTGACCAAGAGACTCAAGGGACTTGATTACAACGTTTTCTGTTTTTTTCTTCCTTCCTTTCCTTTTCTTTCCTCTGTCTCTCTTTCTTTCCTTCCTTTCCTCCCTCCCTCCCTTCTTTTTTTTTTTCCACGGAGTTTCACTCTGTTCTCACCCAGGCTAGAGTGCAGTGGCTCAGTCTTGGCTCACTGGAACCTCTGCCTCCTGGGTTGAAGTGATTCTCCTGCCTCAGTCTCCTGAGTAGCTGACCTACAGGCGAGTGCTACCAAGCCCAGCTTTTTGTATTTTTAGTAGAGATGAGGTTTCACCGTGTTAGGAAGGATGGTCTCAATCTCCTGACCTTGTGATCTGCCCGCCTCGGGCCCCTAAAGTGCTGGGATTAGGGTGGGACGTGAGTTACCGAACCTGGCCAATTTTCTGGGTTTTAAGTACTCCTTTTGCGGCCCCTATTGGCTACCCCTGATCTGGATGAAGGGTTTGGTCCGTGGCTAATTAACTCATTTATGCCTGAGGTTGCAATTTTTTATTTTTGCAATCAGACCTTGGCGATGACCTTGAGCAGTAGGACATAAATAACTCCCACATGCTTAGGATGTTCCAATAATGGAACACTAGGCACAAATGGGGCTGAGGTGAATTAGCGCCCTATGCAGATGAAGGGATGGCCCGTGCTTGAACTGCGGCCAATCCAAGGCACTCTCCTTTCCATCTAAGACATGGTGAAACGGGGAGGGTTGTAGAGACAGTGGTTTGATCCTCTATTCTCCGGACATGGGGAGATGGGGTTTTTCTTTTTGGTTTAGCTTTAGCGAGTTCACCTTAATTGGCCTCGGGTTCCCTGCCCCCAGACCTTGGTGTTTTTTTCTTTTTTGGGACGGAGTTTCGCTCTTGTTACCCAGGCTGGAGTGCAATGGCGCGATCTCGGCTCACCGCAACCTGCGCCTCCTGGGTTCAGGCAATTCTCCTGCCTCAGACTCCCGAGTAGCTGGGACTACAGGCAAGCACTATGCCCAACTAATTTTCTGTATTTTTAGTAGAGCCGGGGTTTCACCATGTTGACCAGGATGGTCTCGATCTCTTGACCTCGTGATCCACCCGCCTCGGCCTACCAAAGTGCTGGGATAACAGGCCTGAGCCACCGCGCCCGGCCTGTGTTTTTTGTTTTATGAAGTCAGCACAAATTGGCGTCAGAATCCCTGCCCCCAGACCTTGATGTTTTCCCTTGATTCAGCTTCAGAATCCAGCACGTTTTGGCCTCAAGTTCCCCCCCTCGAGATCTTATTCTCCCGCCTCAATCAGACCTTAGTTTCCCTCTGCGGAGGTGGCTGGCCCAGCAGTCTGGAAACTTTCCAAGCTTGAGAAGGTCTCACTCTCCTTTTTTTTTTTTTTTTTTTTTTTTTAAGACGCGGGGGGGTTCACCATGTTGGTCAGGCTGGTCTTAAACTCCCGACCTCAGGTGATCCGCCCGTTTTGGCCTCCAAAGTTCTTGGATTACAGGCATGAGCCATCACGCCCGGCCGAGAAGGGCTCACTCACTTCTTTACTCTGCCCGCTCCTGCAGCGCTAGGTGCCGCAAACTCGGGAAAGCCAGAGAGAGGACCTAGTCAAATCCGGGCGGCCACTGTCACCACCATGCGGCCAGCCTCAAACGTCCTCCTCTTAGCGCGCAGGCGCTGTAGGGCAGTCCCCACCCCACGCCTGCGCAGCGCTTCCGGGCAGCCATCCGGAAGCTACGGGCTGCTCAGAGCCCCGCCCCGTTGTGGTCACGTGAGGCGCTTGCGCGTCACCTGACGCTCTTGACAGTCCGAGGAGGGCGCAGAGTCAGCTGATCTGCGAATTGTGATTCGTGCCGGTTGTTCTGGGATCTCCAGTGCCGCCGCTCCCGCAGCAGCCATGTCGTTCTTCCCCGAGCTTTACTTCAACGTGGACAATGGCTACTTGGAAGGACTGGTTCGCGGCCTGAAGGCTGGGGTGCTCAGCCAGGCCGACTACCTCAACCTGGTGCAGTGCGAGACGCTCGAGGGTGAGCCGGGGGCGCGAAAGGAGGGGATAGAGGCCGGCTGGAGCCTGAGGGTTCAGAGGTGTGGGCCGTGAAGCCGGGAGCGGAGGTCTTGAAGGGCCTGAGAAACCTCTCTGGGCATCCCAGGGCTGAAGGCGGACGTGCGGGAGCGGGATCTACCTCTGCCTGGGCTCGGCGCGGGCCCAGACGCAAACAAGGTTTTAAGAACCGCAGTTGTTCTCTGCTTGGGTTGCCTTTTCTTTCGCTGTGCTTGCCCTGCAGTTTGGAAGGAGGGGGTCTTTCGGGGGTGGCTGATCGGTGCGAGGTGTAGCCATACAAGGCTCTTTACCTTGATGTAGCCCGAGAGCTGTCCCATGGCAACGCTTAGGGACGGTAAGCGGAAAAGTCCCCCATCTCTTCTTCCTCCCCGCATCAAGACACCAAGGTCTTTGGGATCACTGTGTCTTCGCGTTGGCCTGCGGGATGAGCCTTCCTGGGGAATTGCTGAGCCAGTTTAGTGAGGATTTTCTCCCAACTCTGAACCACTGGCTGGGCAGTGTCTTCTGAAGGCAGTGTTTGGGAGAATAAGGGTGGCCCTGCAAGCCTGGATAGTTCAGATACAAGTATTTGGCCAGTTAATCCCATTCCCTTAGCGAGGGGGATGCCTGTTGAGACAGGGTTTCCAAGCACAAGAGTGTTGAGAAACCAAGTTCCCCTTTCTTCACACAGCTCCAGAGTGGAGTTGACTTCCTGAGGCACAGCTCCAACAGATGTACTGAGTCAGAGATATCTCTAATTCCAGTCTTTGCCAACCACTCCCGCTCCAGGTGGTAGGGAAGGGCAGGGTGGCTGGGATGTGAGTTTTCATCCCTGATTCCCAAGTGGTACTTTTGAGCAGAGGTGCCGATAGCCTCGTGATTGGTAGCTGAAGGGGGAGGATGGCCAGGTGATTCACCCACTAAAGAACATTTTCTCATCAGAAACTTCTTGAAGTTTAAAGTGAGCCCAGAGAAAAAATTCATTTATTGTTTACCTTGCAAACTAGACCAGTAAAGTGAAAAGAAATACCTTTAAAATAGAAAACTTAAAAAAAAATAGAAAATTTACTGTTGAAATACAATAATTGTAGGTGTTATTTTAATGTAAATGTGCAGTACAATAATTGTAGGTGTTATAATGTTAATGTAAATCTTTAAGAAAAGTTGTTTACTGGGCCAGGTACGATGGCTCATGCCTGTAATATCAGCACTTTGGGAGGCCACGGCAGGCAGATCACAAGGTCAGGAGTTCAAGACTATCCTGGCCAACATGGTGAAACCCCGTCTGTACTGAAAATACAAAAATTAGCTGGGCGTGGTGGTGTGTGCCTGTAGTCCTAACTACTTGGGAGGCTGAGGCAGGAGAATGCTTGAACCCCGGAGGCGGAGGTTGCAGATGGTGCCACTGCACTCCAACCTGGACAACAGAGCAAGACTGCATCTGAAAATAAAGAAAGAGAGAAAGAAAGAGAGAAAGAAAGAAAGAAAGAAAAGTTGTTTATCTTACTTATGTGAGTGGAGGATGCTGGGTTGTAGGGGTCTGCCAGCAAACTGATTGACCTTACTGTGAGAAAAAAGAGGAGAAATAGAATGAGGCTGCCTGGGACAGGGCCTAGCACACAATTGGCGCTTAATGTGAGTTTTGTGGACTGACTGGGACTTGTCAAATGTCTTTATTTGCCTAAATCTAAGGTGAACATCATTGATCATCAACAGACATTCGGTTGGTTGTTTCTTTTCTTTTTTTTTTGAGACGGAGTTTCGCTCTTGTTACCCAGGCTGGAGTGCAATGGCGCGATCTCGGCTCACCGCAACCTCCGCCTCCTGGGTTCAGGCAATTCTCCTGCCTCAGCCTCCTGAGTAGCTGGGATTACAGGCACGCGCCACCATGCCCAGCTAATTTTTTGTATTTTTAGTAGAGACGGGGTTTCACCATGTTGACCAGGATGGTCTCGATCTCCTGACCTCGTAATCCACCCGCCTCGGCCTCCCAAAGTGCTGGGATTACAGGCTTGAGCCACCGCGCCCGGCTGTTTCTTTTCTTGACTTTCCTCAATCCTGCTGCTGTCTTCTTCCCTGTAGAGCTTCTGGGGGCACAGGGTTCTTCCCATCTTCCCAGTGGACCCTCTATCACACCCATAAACATGTTAGGCCATTCTTTCTACACATTCTTCCCATAACACTGCTCAAGATAGGCCCTGCCCTGCCCCACCTTGTAGAACACCATCGATCTTTAGTGTGGCATTCAGGGATCCCTTGCTCATTCACACACACTTTTTTTGTTTGTTTGTTTTGAAACAGTCTAGCCTTGTTGCCCAGGCTGGAGTGCAGTGGGGCGATCTCTGCTCACTGCAACCTCCACCTCACCAGTTCAAGTCATTATTGTGCCTCCGCCTCTCTAGTAGTTGGAATTACAGGCATGTGCCACCATGCCTGGCTAATTTTTGTATTTTTAGTCAAGACGGGGTT